GTAATGTAAAAATATTGGCTCTAACAATATAAACTCTATCCATCATAAATTAAGATAACATCTTGAAATGCTTATACATAAAATAATACTTTTAATTTTAATATTTCACCTGTATTTGAATGGAAGGGAAATGCTTCCTATTAATGTAATCAGAATCTCCTCCAATACACGAAGACAAACGTATATGTGTTCCATCGAGTGCACCGATGACATCTGGAAGACCACTTTTCAGTTGAAAATCTTGAGCTATTTTTAGTTGTTCCCGGACATCTGGCTACCTGATTATCTTAAATAATAAAAGTTTAAAGAATAATATATGTTTGTGAAAGTCTTGTCTAAACCTAATTTGAGATTTGAAATTTCCATATTAATTACTGTAGTTAACTTAAATGAATATTACATTTGATAGGTTGTCATGAATTGCACTGTTCACCCTTTTCAGAACTACATATACATTTGATTGGCCAATTCCAAAGTAATGACCTATTTCCCTCATTGTTTCTTTATTGGCAATATAACACAGAAAAATAAGAAGTTGTTTGGATGGCTGTATTTTAGCACTGCCTCCCCCGTGGTGTGATGTTAGTTGCCCCCCGACAACAGTTAATAACTCTTCAAACATCTCTTTACTGATGCGAAAATGGTAGCGGAAAATTTCTGTTGTAAACAGCGGAATTACGTTCTCTGCGTACCCTACCATGCGGGGTGAAACCATTTTAAATTTATGAAAAACCGAATGCCCTAGGGCGAGAATTTTAAATCCTATATATCATATTTCCCCCTAAAATAGGATGTTGCGTTTCTTTTGCGTTTCAGTATATATTTTCTAAACATAAATCGTTCGGAAAAACGAGGAAGCTAGATCTAGATATCTCGGTTTTATTTTTGATTTATAAATCTGAACTTTTTCATTATAAAGTTTTCTTAATATCCACAATTTGATTTGTGACATTATTAAAAAAATGTTTTGTGTATTTTAATTTCAGATTTAGCCCTTACGAAGACAATGAACGACGTTGTACTTACGCAGGCCTGTGATAGAAAGTTTTTTTTATATATCTACTTAAAGGAAAAGAGAATGCGTAAATAAACATTTTAAGACCCCCAAGATTGACCGAATTAATATTTGGACGAGATAGTTTTGGGTTTTGAAGAAACTTTCCCACTTTTCAGTTTGGATGACCCTTTCCAGGTTTAGAGGATTTCTAGATATGGAAGTCAAGAAAGATAATCGTAAATTGCTCTAACAAGGCGGTAATTCTTGACATTTAGACAAACCCTAAGAAAATAAATAAAACACATGGTTTTAAACTTTTTTGTTCAAAAGATTTTTATAGAACGTAACTTTTTGTAAACTTAATTCACATTTAGGAATAATGCTGCATATACAACAATTCTACCATGCACAAACTCGACTTCAAAGCTTAGAATAAATTCTAAGTGGGATTAAAGTCTGTCACTTTGAGGTAGCAATATCAATAGTTTACCTTATTGTATGCACTTACAGATGGATTTCTGTCAGCTTGGCACTCTTATGCATGCCTATCGCTATCTGTCAGTTCCTCCCCTGGTGCTCGCCTGTCGGTTCCGATCGTCTTCGAATGACTCAGATCCCTGACATCCTCCAGTTGGTGGATCAGCAGCGGTGGCCAATCCATTACTCGATGGATCCCGAATTCCAGCACAGATCGCCTCGGCGGTGTTATATCCAGCAGGATGACATCTCTGCTGCTTCTCCCAGTCGTCTTATCGCTGTCTTCCATGCTCTTCCTGATACTCCTAATCGTGGGAGCAGCTTCCACACCGATTGCGCTTGAAACCCTCTGCAGCCGATCTATATCGGAAACAGCCAAACGCTCCATCCTCTATTCTTGCAGTCTGCCATGAGGTCTGCATATTTAAGGCTCTTCTTCTCATGTGCCTCCTCACAATTTTCTTCCCATGGCACGGTCAGCTCTATTGCGACCAACGTCTTCGAATGTTGAGACACTAATACTGCGTCTGGTCGTAGGTCGGTTTCCACGATGTTAGGGAAATGCTAACGTCCGGTCTAGATCCACTCTGAGCTCCCAGTCAAGCAGAAAATTTGATAAAATACGGCAGCGTTTCAGTTTTTGGTTACTGGCATGAAATTTTTTGGTACTTGGGATCTAAGAGTCTTCATCACTAAATCGTCCAGTTCTGATATGCGTGGTGAGTTATGATGATAAATAGCATTCATTTTCCTTCCCTTTTCTCCATGTTCTCCATGTTTTATACCTTCCATTATGCTTTTAAAGTGTATAAATATAACGTTTTTCGGCACATTAATGAAAATCGAACAGCTAAGCAAAATATTTATCAACATTTTCTAGTATTTTTTTTTTTTTTTTTTTTTTTGTTATATAATTGTAATTGATAATATTTTAAAGGTGTGATATATTCCTCCATAAACGGTCGCATTTTGTTACATGCTCTAATAAATGTTTTGTCTTTTTTCCCCGAGATGAAAATATTAAGTTTGTTCATGGTAAATGTGTGGGGAATACCTTCAAACTTTTTATCTTACTTATGAAGTTTTTTGGTCAAAAAACTTTTTTGAGGAAAAAAAAAATAAAAGCACGTGTTTCTCTTTTGTTCGTTTGAAATTTGTTTTGCGGTGTGCCAAAACGCTGTTTTCTGATTGGGCATGATGTATATTTATAGCAACTTTCAGTTATCGTTCTTGACTTCCATATATGGAAATCGTCCAGACCTGCTGAAAGCTACGTAAGTGTTTAATACGATAAAAGCTTTATCAACAACTCATTCATATACATGTATAAATTATATATCCATACCCTGATACCTTTTAGTGGTACCCTAGGTACCATTTAGTGTTAACCGTAAATCTCGGAAAGGACGTCAAAAAAAACAACAAACAACAAACAAACAAATAAGCAAACAAAACCCTGATGTTTTGAATACGAACTTAACCAGTAATTAAACAATAAAAGATTCAAAATGTAAAATAAATTCTCTCAGCGACCTGTAAACTATAAACCACAAAGAACTTTTTCAAAAAGAAAAAAAAATTCTGTATGTTTGAAGGTCATCAACCGATTGGACTGTTGTTAAAAAAATCCATCATAAGACAGGTCTAGCTCTTCAACATTAAAAAAGATGGCTTGGCTCTTTAACATCCAATAATGATAATAATAAAACAGCGGAATATTGTATATTCCACTAATAGTATCTACTTTTAACAAGTTACATAATGATTGTTTTGTAAACATGATCTTTCTTCAAGCATGAGCTAGAATCAGACAGCCGTCCCTAAAACACAGATTTTTACAAATATATTTGTCTGTTCCAAACTAAAAATCGAAACACTGGTTTTGAGCCATCCTCACAACGTCAGGAGTACCGCGTCTACTCGTGGCCGTGAGACCCCTGAAAAATTCCATTCATTTTCTACGGGCTGATTTCAGGGACGTCTTTCGGAAAAATTACAAATCCCGATTGTTTTTCTTATCTCTCGACTAATCACATTTAAGCTTTTCTGTGACAAACATCCTGAAACACATGCAGTGTCGACTGCTTCTTTGTGTTTACATTTTGTCTACTTATGTAAACCCCAATTTGATTGGTTCTTCTCAAAGAGAGAATCACGCCCCCAAAATGAACGAAGTTTTTAAGGGGTCCCACGGCCAGAAATGGACTTAGGACCCCTGAAGTTGTGAGATGGTTTTCAGTGTACGCAGAAGTTTATGAAATCCCAAAAAATCTAAATGTAAACAATTTTAACATACCTTGCAAGGGAAAATTTTGGCACCTTTTACCTTGACCATTTCTAGAAAGAAATAATAGTCATTAATCCCATTGAAAGTTATCTCTCTTATAAGAGGGTGGACAAACCTTAAGTTGATGCTAGATCAAATCTTTTGCAGACCTGACAAAGCATTATATGCCGTTGCAGATGACTGTGCATTGCATACGATTACCACTTGTAAAACAGCTGACTCTTGACATAATAAATGTTAATTCTTTGTTTTGATTTGATGGTACTACAAAGAATTATAATTTATTTTTCGATGCCAGAAGTTCAATTTTTGTGAATGTTTTATGTACGTCTTGTACCATATGGAGAAGGCTTTTAGGGCCATTTCTCCAGCCCAATCCATTTATGCTTGAGACATGATAAAATTTATTCAAATCAAATCATTTTTTTCAGAATTTGAGTGTACCTTCATCCACTTGGTATTACTTTCTATGATCCACAGTGAATGAGAGCATACCTGTTAAATGTTTAGATAATATGTATTCATTTTGGTATGCACTTAAGCGCCTTAAACTAATAACATTTTTGATAATAAACCATGTATATATATATATATATATATATATGTATACACAAATCTGATTTTTTCCACTGTTGAACTGTAATAGTAATACGTCACCAAATGGCGTCTGAAACAAAGATTGTCTGAGAGAGGTGGTGAAATGTCTTTTGAACGGGCGTTTCAAAGTAAATACTCTAAACTCTGTTACTAACACAGATGTTCCCCTATTACTCTCCTGTTCACAGTGGTGGTTTTATTATAGGCGTTACTTTTTTATTTACTGAAGATATCATTGAAGTTGGTAAGTGCATGCACCAACTCCTGTGATTTGATCAAGAATGCATACCATAATTATATTCTTTATATGTAAAACAAATAATCTTCCTTTATACCTGTGTAACCTTTAATATTTAACATCATTAAGTTAATTATAATTTATTACGTCTATGCATATTTTCATGTCTCTTCTGCAATAAAATCCCTTTAACATGCATCTAGCTGTTATATTTTCCATTCCTGAACCTAATATACCGAGACAGAAGAAGAAATCGGATAATAAACCCATGACCAATCCAGGTACATCTGGAAATGATTATTAATGAAGTCAATACTGACCAATTCCTGCATCCCGCCTAAACCTATAAATAGGAAGTTTTTACCTGAGAAAGCTTAGATTGAAAAGGGATCAATACCAGAACGATGAATTGTTCCATCAGAAGTTTAAGTTGTGTGATAGCGATTTTAATGACTCTGACATCAAACAGTGGTCTACAATCTAACATCCCTCCCTTCAGAGTGCTTGTTTTACTCCCCGGGCGTAAGGGCGATTTCTTGTTTCCATTCGGACAAGAGAAAGCCGGAGCAGCAGGTTAGGTTATTCTATGTTGTGCCATTACCTATGCATATTTTCCATTATTTTAATATTTTGACAATTGAACTTTGGATTTCGGTATTTTTCGCTTTCTCGTCTTAAATAACTCGCTTTTGAATTGGAACTAATTTTAACTTACTTTGAATAGTCTCCAGAACACCTAAAAGATTTGTTTTATTGTAATTCTAGAAAAATTCGCTTTTAAAGGAGGGAAAATATATACCTTAGTATGCAAATATAGGATACACATATATGTGGAACAACAAACTCATCTTCTATGTGGATACAAATAGGAAGCAGAGAAAAAAAATTCTGAAACAAATTCAAGTAACATAAAGGAGAGAGAAAAATAATTTGCATATATTTTCAATTGTTCCTCGACTCAAAAAATGGAAAATATATCACACAAGTCGTATTAAAGTTTGCTAAAATATCCCTGAATATACAATTGTTTGATAGAATGGATGCCAAATATTTAAGTTTTAATGAGTGTTTTTTCGAAACTGCTGTAATATTACCGAAGATTACTTGTCAGCCCTATACATCTACATTACTGATACTTTTGTCAATCAACTTTTATACTATTATTATCAATTTTTCCCTTTCAAGTTTCCATTCTTCGATAATAATATTCCATATATGATATGCACTGCTTTCAAATCATAATAAAATTCAATAATTCTGATGTTAGTATTCATTTTAATCTCAGAACAACATTCTAATGATCATTCTCTCGTGATTATACCCATAATATCGGACCTCTACAGAAAGTATTCATAACATATACTGGTCAAAGTCCCAAGAGAACAGAAATTCTTTAGAATTAAGCACGTCGTGAGTTTATAATAACATCGCAAATTAATTATGCATAAATATCCATTTAGCTCAAAATCCTAGATTTGGTGAAAAATTTTAACCTAAACTACTCCGTCATAACAAAACAGATTCATTTCCTTCAACTTGCATTAATAATTACTGATTAACCTACGTGTATAAATAGTATAATCGATTTCCTTTGATGACGTCTATTTATTAGAGGACCCCTGCCCCCACTCCTCAAAGTTTTACCCAGGTTGGGTAACTGCTAAAGCTAATTTGTTTCTAAATGCATGTACATGTAAACGTAAATCACAACAGTGCAACTCTCCAACCAGATTAAAAAATGGATAAATACTATCTTTTATCTTCAGATTTTTGTTTCAATTTAAAATTTGTATATACAAATTTAAATTGAAAAATGGTAAATTTGGTAGAGGACAATACAACAAAATGACACAAAATCCCCAGATCCCAATAAACAAAATCAATCAATAAATATTTTACCAAAGAATACATCGCCAAATTCTCTTCGTCCGTCTGCCTTGGAATAATGCATTGTAATGAACAATTCCTTGAAAATTATACATGAAAGAGCTAGGTTCACTTTATGCATAAAATGGCCCTGTTCTTGTATCAATTAATTGACTATCACCCACTGTCCCATTTTATATATCAAAATAAAGTAGAGACGTAGCGCTCTCATTTCCTATAACAAAATTTCTTTTTGAGAATTCAGGTACTGAAAAACAGGCTTTGTGAAAACGCAATGTTCTTGAATTTTGCAGAAAACAGGCATATTTGACTTAATTCAGCAAAGAATTAAAATATGAGCACCACAGGCACTTGGGGTATGGACCCCCCCCCCTTTCCATTTTCTTTTCTTTTTAAATCTGGGGTCGAGTCACCTTTTTCCTATTTTTGTATTCTAATATACACTGTATGTTATTAATAATGTAACTCTTTTGTCTCTATAAGCTGTTTTTAAATATATCGTTTTCGACTGATACATAAAAAGAGAGAAGGCTTGCAACTCTTTTCTCATCGTCTGCCTCACCTCGCTTAAACTTCGCCTGATTATTTATCGAAAGAATTAGAAAACATGGAATATGCATATATCAATAAATTCATTATACATTCTTCTTCCTTTTCATATTTCCATTTAATTTTTATGTGCCCCCGATTTGTAAATATTTCGATTAAATCACCCGCATCGATGGTAAATTTTGTCGATGTGCACCAGCTGGGACGGAAGTGCCCGGTATTTTCGGGTATCATCATTACGTGTAATGTCATTCGGAACATGAAATGCGAGAAGGAATAAATCCCTAATTTTCTCTTCATATAGCATGTAACGGTAAGTTCTGTGAATAACAAGATAACTTTAACTAGCAAATTGCAATTGACGAAGATTAACTTTTAACAGACGACCTAGACAACCAAATTTCACAATATTGTTATTGCAAAGCCTGGAATTTTTTTTTAATGCAGAACATTTATAAAGTTAGAGTTACCGTTATTGCACTTCCGTCCCAGCTGGTGCATATCAACAAAATTTACCTTAGATGCGGGTGATTTAATCGAAATATTTACAAATCGGGGGCACATAAAATTAAATGGAAATATGAAAAGGAAGAAGAATGTATAACGAATTTATTGATATATGCATATTCCATGTTTTCTTATTCTTTCGATAAATAATCAGGTGAAGTTTAAGCGAGGTGAGGCAGAAAAGAGAAGAAAAGATGAGAAAAGAGTTGCAAGCCTTCTCTCTTTTTATGTATCAGTCGAAAACGATATATTTAAAAACAGCTTACAGAGACAAAAGAGTTACATTATTAATAACATACAGTGTATATTAGAATACAAAAATAGGAAAAAGGTGACTCGACCCCAGATTTAAAAAGAAAAGAAAATGGAAAGGGGGGGGGGGGGTCCATACCCCAAGTGCCTGTGATGAGCACAGCCCTCGATCCAAAAATTAAAACATGTTTTATGATCTTAAGAAGCAAACCTTTCATTATATAATTGCATATTTTGGATCAAAGGTTGTGCTCTATATGAAAAATTGAAAAAATACTCCAAATACACAAACTTTTGGCCATCTTTAAAGGAATTTACAAGATATGGTAAAAATGACGCATTTCATGACGTCAAAATTCATTGACTATGGAGAAAATTACGTCATATTCAATAGATACACAGTTACCGATAAATAGGCCTACATGTACTGCACTGTCAACCAAAACTGAGCAGTTTCGATTTTTCAGAAACTCACAGGGCGAAAAAAGGCCCAAAGTGGCCCTTGCTCTTTCATTCCTGTTAATTTTTCATGACTATTGTACATGTACTAAAATGTAATTTTACATAGAGGCCATTTTCCAGATCTTTAATTGGTGATTAAAATCAATATATGCTTCATTTTATCTTCTTTTAATTTCTTATATGTTCACAAAAGCAGAAATACTTTGAACTAAGATTTGATTACAAATATATTGTTACTCGTACAATTTCTCTCTCGGAAATTTTCGAAATGTGTTGATTTTTTCCCCCTCAAAAATGTCTATGCCATTTCCGGAGAAATGTTGCAAGCTTTAATGTCATATCACAGGAGGACAATAAACAACAAACTCTCCAAAAATGTATATCGTAAACTAAATACATGTGTTATACGAAATGTTATGAAAAGCATGGGTATCGACCTAAAATTAATGAAATCTTACTCATGGCTTAAGTCATTGATCCGTATTAATAAGAAAATATACAGTTATTAGACCTTTCTAAAAATTAGGGAATTAATATCGCCAACTGATTAGCTTTTTTCATCATATAGCATTAATTGACACATATCTTCCCCTTTGCCATGATTACGTTTGGTTATCATGCATTACAAAGGAAGCTCAATTATCTGGAAAAAAAAACAACAACAACAAAACAAAACAAACCAGAGTTCACTCTGTGGAGTCTTTTAAGACTGCTTGAGAAATAAGCAAGAAGTGGCTCATGCACGTAAGAGATTTTTTTGACACATACAAACATTTTATGATGCATGAAGAACAAATTAAAACAAAATCCATTCATCTTCAAAGATGATTATTATAAATATATATTTCTGTGCTAAATGTAAACACATATTATAGGGTTTACTTAAAATAGCTTAACCCCCTCCACTAACTAATTAACTAGTTCTTACTCTGTTCAACAAAAATCTAGCCAAACGGCTTCAAATGGTGTATACGAACGTAGTAGCAACTGTTTACTATCTGTTTAGGAACTCCAAAGACGCGCACGAATTTACGTATTTAGGATTGTTTATGAACAAGCTAGGACCATACTATAGACATTATTTGTAAAAAAAAAAAAAAAAAAAAAAAAAAAAAAAAAAAAAAAAAAAAAAAACCCTTTGCACATTAAATCCCCAACCTCAAGTCGTTTTCCCGTTTTACTAATTTAAAGGACAGGGGGGAGGTCGTTCTGGAAACGAGTTTGATGTGATGAGGTTCAAAAACTTGCTAAAAATTACACTATTCCTATGGCTTGAATGTAATTGAGATGTAATTGGATGATGGTTGTAACACCTCTATCTGGCCGTGAACAGGCTTTGTGTTAAGTATGAAAATTATGCCAATACGAAGTCGAAGCACTGGAATATCATAGCCCTAAGAACATTTATCTTCTCATGTGAGCTTAATCTTCCCCTTTGCTATGATTACGTTTGGTTATCATGCATTACAAAGGAACTTCTCATGTGAGCTTAAGTCGCCCGCGTGGCGCAGTGGTTAGAGCGTTCGCTCTAGAGTCGCAGAGTAAGGAGTTGATCCTTACGTCGCGGTTTCGAATCCCACTGTGGGACGCGGAGACCGGTCCTTCGGATGAGACCGTATAAACCGAGGTCCCGTGTCGCAGTAGGTGCTGGCACGAAAAAGATCCCTCACTGCTTAATGGCCCTAAGTGCCGAGTATAGGTCAAAATTTGTAGCTCTCCACCGGCAAGTGGTGGCGTCTCCATATGAGTGAAAAATTCTCGAGAGGGACGTTAAACAATAAACAAACAAACACATGAGCTTAATCTTCCCCTTTGCTATAATTACGTTTGGTTATCATGCATTACAAAGGAACTTCTAATGTGAGCTTAATCTTCTACAAGCCACAATGTCATGGAATCACGACATACATGTACCTCTTGGTCATAATCAACCTTTGTGCCAAGCGTGACCTCTTATTCTCTTCCAAAACAAAGGACTATACTCGGTAATGACCAATATATGCCCCCAAATCAAACTTTAACGGAGAAATATATAATTATATTCTAAAACAGGGGGATATCTGCAGACTAATAGCAATGAATATCTTCATAAGCTATGGCACCATATGTACATGTAAGACATGACGTCAGGAAAATGACGTAAATTCATTTTCCAAGATTTATACAGAAAAAAAGGTGTATATTACGTCGATATTTTGAGTAAAAGTCGCCAAGCGCAGGTCTGCTCTAACTCAATATTTTGATTTAATGTGTAGAATGATATCAATGAAATATGTAAATATTGTTCTGGAGTAGGCCTGCGCTCTATAACTTTTATAATAAAAATTGAACAAATTCTGTCCATTTTTTCCTCTTTCTGAAAAACTACACAAAATCCAAATAGTTTGTTACGTCATAGAAACAAAACTGCCGAAAACCTAATTTGAAACTATAATATTTTTTGTTAATTTAGATTTCTCATACAATATATACAATTTAGCATATTTAAAGATATTTTCAAAATATGACTTTTGTGGGGACAAAAATATGCATATACCGCATATAGTTCTTTGTCTTATGGGCCTAATTTTACATTTCTGACCGAGACTTCAGAATTGACACTTCTGAGCTCTGTGACCTTGACTAAATGACGTTTGTTTAGGGTCGTAACATATCCTATGATCATTATCTGATCTGTAATGTTTATCGATAGCAAAGTTAAGTCCAGACAAGAATTTCACTCCTCTTTAATATTCTTGCGGAACAAATTAGCTACGTCCATAACGTTGCAAAAACACTATGGTAAATGACGACCTGTTGGCTCTTCGTCCCTTGAATACAATGTACAACAAAGCCATTACTACTTTTCTTTCTTGCTGTGTTTATGATTCTACCCGTTGAAGGAAGTACACGTGCTTTTGTTTACCTCTGTAAACATACGCTTTATTGGTTTTCACCGCTTAGAGAATTCTACACGGGAGATCACTCTCAATCACTATTTCGTAAATGAAAAAACCCATGTATTAAACCTTTTTTCTAAACCTTGACTTGCCTATGTCCTTAAATACGACCAATACGAAAATATCATGTGCACATCTTTATTTGCTAAATAAAGAGTGTAATAATTTTCAAGGAAAAAAATCCATGGACTTGTCGCTTAGAATATGTCCGGACAAGTTCATATATACACAGACAGACGGACATCGTGATTCCAATATACCCTCTTATTTAACTTCGCTTGCAGGGGTATAGCAACCTGAAATCTACATATAAATGATGAGGCATATCTTTTTCAGTTTTATTTTCTTGAATAAAATATATCATTAAGACTTATTTTAATCATTTCTTGTTGAAATAAGGCAAGGTCGGCCCTTTATTCATAATAGTCCTGCATTCTGATTATCCACGAATGCATAGATTTAAGTTTGTTTGTGGTTCTGGAAGAAGTCTAATTGTTAATAATTTACAGTCCACAGACAGCTGCTGGCGAATTACAAACAAAAACTTTGTTCAAAAAAGCTCACTGGAGCCTCTGGCTCAGGTGGGCGAATAAAAATCTAAGCAGGTGTTACATATATGGCGGTGTTAAACAGAAGAAAAGACCCTTTATGAAACATTCAAAGATGTATTCTTTTTTTTCACAATACCACTGTTAAAAAGATCAATCACAGACAGCCAATGAGCCAAACTCACGATAGATGTTCTTGAAATAAAATCGCCATCAATTCTGCCAAAAGTCTAAATTATGTGCGATTTTGCATTAATTTTTACAATGAAAAGGGAACTTCAAGATTTCCATTTCCAAGAAATCTGAGATGTAACGGTAGTATGCGATGAATGCTTTAAAGGGGCCTGGACACAGTTGCATTGTTTACATTTTAACTATACTTATGAAAAAAAAATAATAAATTTAGTTTAATGAATTGAACTTGCATGTATATTCAAAGAATTCAATTACAATGACATTCTTCTTTACATCACGTCAAACGTCAGTGTTTGTAAACACGCAAGTCACGAACTCTTATCATTTTGCCAAGTGTGTTCAATTTATTTACTAAGTACTCTGTACACATGAACACGGACTGACAATACTGATGAGTTGGTTTTGCTTTCTCACATTTCTGCTCTGAATTTTCTGGATTAAAGTTTTAATATTTTTCATTAATACACAAAAAATCTACTTTTCTTAAGTACTAAGGATAAAATTTACTTCTTGATAGTGCAAGGATATGTTTCAATCAAACGCGTCCCGAAATTCGTAGATTTAATAAAATTCAGATTAAAAGAAGTGTCTAAACACGTTTTTATTATATATTTCGACGTGAAATGCTCTAGCAACATATAAGTCATGATATTATACTGAAAATGATAAAAAATATTAACTTCAAATCTGTGTCCAAGCCCTTTAATTCTCTCTGCAGGAAATTGTCAGGCTGAATTTAAATTTCTAAGTCTAACACTAGCTGCTTAATACAATAGATTGAACGCTACCAATAGCCTACTGCAACACGGTCTCATCCAAAGGACCGGTTTTCAGTCCAACAGTGCGACTCGAACCCGCAACGTAAGGATCAGCTCCTAACTCCGCGACTCTACAACGAAGTTCAACTTTCTAAATATACAAGCGATCATTTCAGTTCTCTTAGTTTTAAATTGAATAAATGATTCTTCACGATTTTTTAATGACAAAGAATTCTTTTTTGCACTTTCAGTAAGCATTGCTATTGAAGACATTGAAAGAAAGGGCATCATTAAGGAAGGCTCCATAGAAGTGGAATACGCCAACACACGATGTAATGGAGTACACGGACTGGGTAAGGATGAGCTCTGTGTTATTTGCTACGATATTACATAGTTTAAGCCACCTTATTATCGTTCTGTACAAACGCCATCGGCAACAGAGAAAATACCAGAATTCTATAGATTTGCTAAGACTGATTTCGTCTGAGAGCTTCCTTAACTTATTTGATTAAGACAAAGTTGCAATAATGTTTAGGAAATCTCTATTTTTTATGTTAAAGAACCTTTGCGTTTTAAATAAAATTGAGTTAATATCTAGCTATTCAGATGAAAGACCGCGCTGGTAACTATAAATAAATGTACCTGTCGATACAATAAGATACCAAATTCATTTCCTTATTTGCAATGTTTACTGAAGGTTTAATGAAGGTACTAGATAGTCTGTACCATTACTATTCTTAGAATGGCAAATCTATCATTGACGTATTATATATGATTCATATAGTTTTATGGACACATGTGATTCGAACACGTTTAAAGCAAATTTATTGTCAAGCTTTGTTTCACAGTGCATGTTTATTTATCCGAAACAATCATTGTATTAAAGAGGGAGAAGAATTTACCTGATCCGACCCTTAGATTATGTTTGATAAATATGTTTTAGGAGTTGATATGACTTCAATACCCCTGACGACATAATTATAGTCGTTGTGTTTGATTTCAAAACTCAAACCCGAATTTCTTCATAACAAAAACATACCCTCTTAAAGTCAGAATGATAATGGGTGATACTGGGCTACAACTGAATTTGTTGATTATAATCTCTATTCGATATTTCCCTTCAAAATTCCAGATTTAAAAAAATCTTCTTTTTTTTTTTTTTTTTTTTTTTTTTTCATAATAAACAAAGTAACTGTAGATCTATACATCTTTTATATTATTGAGATACGCACTCACTCAGTCGATCACCCTTGCACACAATCCACATCCATGCATTATTCTAATGTAGTCAAAAATAATATTTAATACATTTTGTCAATTATTTCTCTTGAACTTTTTCCATATATTTTCCAAATAATAAAATATATTAAAAGTGTGTCTTCTTAAAAACAATGTGAGGATGAAAAAATTCGAATTGACTAATGACTTTAAATAATATTAATGTTACTCATCAAAAACCGGTTTCCATGTAGACCACTTGAATTAAAATTAGAAATTTTATACTTTTGGATTAATAAGAATATTTCTATATTTTATTTGACTCAAAGATGATATTAGAGAGCATTAAATATTGACACTGATATTAAAAGGATGCTGGAGTTTCTCATTGACAACATCTATGTACATGTAGTCTTTGGCGACCAGGTCTTCCAACAAACTGTTGGAATTTCGATGGTCACTAATTGCGCTCCTTTATTAGCCAATTTGTTCTTGTATTCGTATGAAGCAGAATTTATTCAAAAATTTCTATAAAAAGGGGGGGGGGGGGAAGAAAACACTTGCTCCGACCTTTAACACTAAGCTATAACGACAGCATTTTTCTTTCATAAATTAAAAATAGTTACTACCATACATACATCGAATTAATATATCTCAGTGAACTTAAAATTAAAGTCATCTCAGAGTTTGCCATATCTGCTACATATTTGGATGTTTTATTGACTGTAGAGGTTAAGGGCCAACTAACAACAAAATTTTATGACAATCGAGATGTCTTTAGCTTTTCCATCATCAAATTTCCTTATTCATGTAGTAATATTCCGCTATCACCTGCAAATGTTGTTTATGCCTCCAATCTTATAAATGTTCAAAAGTATACTCTGAGTACGATTAATTTTTAAACTGAGGCAGACAACTTACAGATAAGTTGATGAAACAGGGATTTCAACCACCTCGTCTAAAGTCAAAAATTCTATGATCGTTATAATGACCTTATTAGCAAATACAATGCATAATCTATCATTTGGTCGTTTTGTGACTGACATATTTCATACTAATTGCTAGGCCTTTGTTTTTATACTAAAGAACCACGCACGCTAACTCTCGATTCCCGGCTACATTATATACCCATTTAATTCAATATAAATGGCAGTTTGGCCATTAAAACTTGATTGAATGCAAAAAAGAGGTCATTATTAATTGATAAATAATTTTAATATCAATGTCAAAAACCTAATTGCTCTTATTTACGACTCTTTTTAAAAGGGGGGGTTGAAAATTTTATCCATTGAAATCAGGCTTTAAAAATCTCTAGATTTTCAAAAATGAATGGAAATGGAAAAATGACCCTTCAAACTTTCTGTATGTTTAACTTATGTAAAATTCAGCATAAAAGATTTATAAAAGACCTTATTTTATTCGTAATCTCCCTTGAAATTGATAATAAAATGACATTTTTGTGGTTTTTTGTCAGTAAACATATGTTCCCCCAAGTGAAACAACAAAAGCTGTAGTATGTCTGAATAACAATTCATAAAACCCATAAAAAGGAATTTTTGTTTTACGGGGGGGGGGATGTTTTAAAAATATTTTCCGTTTTCCGTTGATTTCTATATTGAAAAACGCAATTTTTACCAAAATTAAAGAGTTATCTCTCTTAGTTTTCCCAAATAATTTATGTTTTATGAAAATTCACATAAATATTTATATAGATATGAAAAATCATTCAAATGTGTCAACTTTCGAAATTTGACTTGGAGGTAGGCGGCAAAACAATACTATCGTTCGCATTTCTTTGATTACGGAACGTTCCATCTACCTGATCAATACATAGGGGTCACGGCGTTTTTGCCGGTTAACAGGGGATGCTTACTGATCACAGGCACTTGATCCCATATCTGGTATTTCTGGGAGTCCTGTTTCATATGCCCTGTTCACAGATTTGTATTGTTTGTAGTTTTTTTAAGGTCACCTGAGTCACTCAGGTGACCTATTGCTTTCTCTTTCCGTCCAGCGACGTGCGTCGTGTGTTAACATTTGTACAACTTTTTCTCTGAAAGGGCTGAACCAATTTTAACCAATTTTGGCATCTATGGGTGAAGGTGAACAAAAATTTTGAAATTCGTGGCCCCTGTCCCCCTGTGGCCTAAGAGGTGGGGTTAAAACCAAAATTAATGCAATCTTTAAAGATCTTCCTCTTTACTCCTGGACATCAAACAGTCAAACTATTAGCATGACTGTAATAAGCATTGAATCCTCTACCAAAAATGAAATTCATGGCCCCAGAGTAAGGGGTTCTGGTGCTAGGGTGGGGCTATCTTGAATATATAGTGAAAATGCATTATTTCTTCAAAAATATTCTCCTCTACTTTTGGGTATTCAGCATGATTCTGGGTATGATAAGCAAGAATGCCTCTTCCAAAATTGTGAACTTCATGGCCTCCTGGGTCAGGGGTTCTGGTGTTTGGGCGGGACTCTAATGATTATGCAGTGAAAATGCATTAATGCTTTGAAAAATCTCCGTTTCTGGCTATTAAACTGAGCAAAGGTGCTCTAATGTTTATATAGTGAAAATGCATAAATTTTTTGAAAATTTTCTCTTCTGCTCCTGTGTATTAAGCTGGCAAATTAAGTACATGGTTATAATGAGGACGGGTGCCTCTTCCAAAATTGTGAATTTCATGACCCCGAGGTTAGGGGTTCTGGTTTAAGGGCGGGGCTTTAATGATGTTATAGTGAAAATGCATTAATTCCTTGAAAATCTCCTCTGCTGCAGGGTATTAAGCCGATTAACTAAATGCACGGTTATGATGAGCAAGGGTGCCTTACATGGCCCCCTGTGTCAGAGGTTCTGGTGTTTGGGCGCAGATCTAATGATTATACAGTAAAAATGCATTAATGCATTGAAAAATCTTCTGTTCCTGGTTATTAAGCTAAGCAATGGTGTCTCTTCCCATTTTGTGAAGGATGTGGCCCCAGGATCGGGGCCTTCTTTCAGATAATAAAGAGCCCATGCATCGCCTACAAAGATTTTGAGAAATATGATTTTTCAATATATCTGAAAATTGAAGTGGGCGACGGCTGTGGTCACCTTTTTCTTTAGGAAAATAACCTCTGAATGAATCGTTTTGAGGCTTTTTCTGTTTAAAACTTAGAAATGTACAAAATTAATGACGTAATATTTCCAGAATGGTCCTCCTTCATGCCATATTCTTTCATGATTTATAACATTCATATACTGAACTCATATTTAAACCTATTTCATAAGTCTTTGAAAGCATTAAATTTTAAGGGCACAATAAAGCCCCAACTGTACCTTCTTCTTAACGAACAAATGGTAGGGCGATCACTTCGTGATGGAAGCCCGAGTTTGATTCTTGTTCGTCGCGCCGCGTCAAACCTAAGCATTCCTTCGCCAAGAGCCCGGCATTAGAAGTGAAAGTCACAGGAAGTGTAAGTTTTGGATAAGACCTTAAAAACCGATGTCCCGTGTCACGGTGGGCGATGGCATGATAAAGAACCCTCACTGCGCAATGACCCTGAGGGCCGAGTTTATGTCTTAATTTGAAATCCTTCGCCGGTATATGGCTACGTCTTTCTATATATGAGTGAAAATATTCTCGAATGAGAAGTAAAACAATATACAATCAATCTTCGCAGGAGTCTGAAAATACATCATTTTACTTTGAAAATTTCAAATAAATACAAGATAGACGGTCCTCTATAACAAGGAATATGTACTTATGTAAGGAATAATGTCAAGAATTATTGATTGATTTATTTTGTATTTACGTATAGTGTACTAAGTCTTGTTCATGTACATTTGCCTTAATATTTTCTTCACTTTAATTAAGTACTTGTTTTTCGTATTATTGTTAAGTGTATTGATATTTTCACTATCTCCTTTGAAAGGAATTAAAGTAGGAATGAATATTAACGTCAGTTGTTACAAAAAATGACGGGGTTTCAAATAATTCATTATATAAAAGGAAAATGAATCATTATGTAACAGGAGCATGAAACATTCGTCATAATTTAGAATTATTGTTTTCTACCGTGGAAAGAAAGTCGTTTGAAAGTACACCAAAAGATGATGAAACAACATTATGTATTATTAATAAAATAATAGCGCTCAGAAAAATAAATCTTTACTAAATTCTTCAATATTTATGTTTTAAAGTGTACTCAGTAATATTACAATAAATTGTGTAGGTTCATTTGGGCCCGAGGTTGATACAGGCTTTTCTGACCCCTCTTCCGTCATGCGTCTTTTAAGTTTTCATAATGATATTGTCGAATTCCTCATTATTATTTGCTTTATTTGAAAGCTGTCGAGGAAGCTTTTTTTGATTTCCTTTTTAGTGAGGGAAGCAACCTTTAAAATGACATGTGAACTTTGAAATTAGTTGTTCCTTTATGCTTATAATGTTTTAATTTTAGGGATCACAAGCGACATGTTGAGGAAAAGAAATTACAGCGCCATTATTGGCCCCCAGTGTTCACAAGTGTGCAGTTTTGTGGGGCGACTGGCTGCCTATTATAATATTGCGTGTTTCTCAGGTGTTTGTCAAGACACAGAAATGCTCAATAAGAATGTATTCACGGTAAGAAATCTGTTTTCCAAGTTGTCAATTTGTCGTCTTTATTAATGGTGTGCCTGGATGTCTTTTCTCTGCATAATGGATAGTAATACCTTAGCAGGCTTTTTGATTCTAGAAAAACAAAGTCTTTTATTGGTGCTTTTTGCAGATGTCTGCAAAGAATGTTTTGTTATTTTTAATAAAAGATAACAAGAACAGAGCTAGACAGCTTATGTTATCAAAAACATTATGATAAAAAATAAAGGTTAAAAAAATTAATAAAGTGTCAGATTTTTTCACAGAAGAAATAGGTGAGTACACCATGCATCGGGCAAATACCTTGCTTCGGACAACTTTAATCAATAAATTAATTTGCATCCATCCTGAATGTCTTCCTGTTTTGACTTGTTGCTGTATTGAAGTCGAAGATTTAAACTTTTAATTCTTTGAATCATAACTTCATCATACATTTCATAAAGAGAAATCTTATACAAAAATCACGTGTTTGGTTAGAGACATTTCAAGATTTCACCAGAGGAAATGAAAATAAGTCTTATATGCATGAAATTTCCATAATGCACTTTTTAAAGATTTGCAACAGCATGTATTTGACAACTTTTAGGTTCTTATTGATCAGTTCAGTTCTAACTTCTTTATTCCGTGGGTAAGACGTCCCAAAAGCTTTACAATACATTTCATATATAGACGATGAGGGTTTACAACTAAATTGTATGACAAACGAGATGCCATACGTCAACTTTCCTTATTTATGTAGTTACTGTAATATTCAGCTGTCACCAGTAAATAGGGTTTATGTCTCGATACTGAAGTACCTGCTCTAAGTACGATTAATTTTTAAACCGAGGTAGGCTACTGACAGATAAGTTGATGCTAAGGTTTTCAACAACCTTTTTGAAAGTCAGCATTCTGTAAATTCTAAGGTCGTTATAATGACCCTGTTAGCAAATATATCCTATTATTGGGTCGTATTTATATTGACGTTATTCATACCAGTTGTTGGGGGTTTTTTTTTATGCTAAATTGACTACGGAATATTCAGTGTACTTGATCAAAACTAAAGGCTCAAGATGTGTTTAGGTGTGACCGGTCAACAGGGGATGTTTACCCCTACTAGGCACCTGTTCAACCTCTGGAATTTCCAGGGGTCCGTGCTATATGCCTTGTTCACAGATTTGCATTGATTGTTGATTTTTGGAGATCGACAACTGTTCATTATCCTCACCTTTTTCACCTTACATGCTGATGTATAGCTGATTTTTAGCTCTACTGGTCAGAGATAAGAAGAGCTTATGCGATTAGTAAGGTGTCCGTCGTCCGTCTGTCTGAAATTTTCAAAATGCTACTCCTCCTACAGTTTTGGTCCATTTTCAGTGTAACTTGACATACAGGTAGACTACACTAAGATACATAATTCTGTATATTGGTTTTTTATTTCGATGAACGGTGTTGCTATGGTTACTAAAAATAGAAATTTCTGTAGAATACATTCAAAACGCTACTTCTACAGTTTTTGTCAGATTTCAATTTACCTTGGTACACAAGTAGACTACACTAAGATATAATTCTGTATATTGGTTTTTGATTTCCAGGAACGGTGTTGCCATGGTTTTTAAAATAGAAATTTCTGTGAAATGCTTTCAAAACGTTACTCCTCCTACAGTTTTGGAGAATTTTAATATAACTTGGCACACACAAATAGACTACACTAAGATACATAATTCTATATATTGGTTTTTAACTTGGTTTCAAAAAGCTACTTCTCCTTCAGTTTTGGTCTGATTTCGATATAACTTGGCACACATGTAGACTACACTTCTATATATATATATATAAAATAAATTTCTATGAAATAATGTCAAAATGCTACTCCTCATACAGTTTGGTCTGATTTTAATATAACGTGGCATGCAAGTAGACTACGCTAAGATACATAATGGTCTTTACCGTTTTTTGATTTTGATGAATTGATGTTGCCTTGATAACTAAAATCGAAATTTCTGTAAAATTCTATTTAAAGGCTACTCCTCCTACAGTTTTAGTCTGATTGCAATCTTGTCACAAAAAGAGACTAAATCAAGGATCATTACTCTGTTTATTGCTGTTGCAAAGTTTCAAGTCCAAGTGCTATCAATGCAAACCAGCAGAGCTACACTCTCGATAGAGACTTTTGGTTTAAGCATCCAAATCGCAGTTCATTAGCATGATATAAAAATTCTTTCCTAAGTGACTTATTCCTTTAATGATTTTACTACAATAAATGTATTTATTTAAAAACACTTGGTCTTCGAGGGTAGTAATGTTTAATAAACTAGTCTCTCAAATTACAAAAAACTGGACATCGATAAACAATAAAACACTGTTTAAGAAGATATTCCATCTTATTTCAGAATCCTCTTTGCGTGAAAACATAAATCTATACTAATCATTATTATAGTCTTGTTGTGCAATTAACTTTGAAAAATGCCGTAAGAAGTCTTAGAAGGTAATCTAATTAATGTCGACGCTTGTTATCAAACTATGAGTGCAGACATTGCTAAGGAGCATTTGAAGACCATTCTTTTATCTCCTTTTTTTTTAAACTTTTGTTTTTTGTGTTTACATATCATGTCATTTTTACACAAATACAAACTTATAATTGTCTATCAAACCGACAGAAGAAGTGAACGTGCATAAGTTAGAATAAATAGCGTTTTAAAATAAATTACTCAATCGGAATACAAGTTAGCTTGAATAGCTTAATTATTCTACTAATAAGTAGTTGTGTTTATGCAGATAAGAATTTGCGCAATTATTGTTCGTGAAACAGAAATACATGTTCTGCGCAAGAATGTGTTCACGGGAAGGAAGTTTCGATCCATGCTTCTAATAAATGTTGTTCCTTTGTGAAAGACAAAGAGTATGTCCTATTCGGATCATTATTTTAAGAATGTCTGCATTTTTTTTTTTTCAAAAACTAATCCAAAAAGTTATCAAAATCTAAATTGTGTTGCTTTGATTGAAAAAAAAATGACAAGAACAACATTTAGAGAAATCAATAATAAGGTAAATTTATACGAATGATCCAGAAGTTTCTGATGAGATCGGAGCTTTTGTATATTATTTACTGCTGCATTATTTTGGGGCCTTCGTTTGATGTCTCAGGTCCGATGGTCTTTTTCGCACTCTTTAGCTCTTTCTGGGAAGTTGCTATTTTCGACATAGATATATTTTTCCCTCTTCTGTCATATCGAAATTTTCAAATTCTAGATATTTTACATCCGAGAACTCCACAAAAAAGAAAGAATAACGCAAACATTTACCCTCTTATGTGAAGTCGAAATTTGACGTAAACAACATTAAGGCCTTGATTGTTATTAATCACCTTATCACAACCATTCAGAAAAAAAGGCTGGGCAAATTAATTTTGTCTTGCGAATGCTTTTTTTTTCAATCATAAACTGTATAATGGTACAAGTAACGATAATAACACACTTATCACATTACAATTTTCAAGGTTACATGTACCTGTACACCCTTCTTGCCTCCTGCGAAGTCTAAGCTGAAAGCCTTAATTTAAGATTCAGGAAAACAATCATCTTGTCATAAATAGACTCCATACATCTTATCTCGACCGAGCATTAATCGACACCTACCTTTCAAATTATAGAGAAGAATGTTGCGTGATATTTTACTGCTGAACACGTGTCGCCCGCGTGGCGCAGTGGTTAGAGCGTCTGCTCTAGAGTCGCGATGTAAGGAGTTAATCCTTACGTCGCGGGTTTGAATCACACTGTGGGACGTGGAGACCGGTCCTTCGGATAAGACTGTTTAAACGGAGGTCCCGTGTCGCTGTAGGTGCTGGCACGAAAAAGATCCCTCACTGCTCAATGGCCGTAAGTGCCGAGTATAGGACAAAATTTGCAGCTCTCCACCGGCAAGTGGTGGCGTCTCCATATGAGTGAAAAATTCTCGAGTGGGACGTTAAACAACATACAAACAAACAAACAAACATTCTCAAAACTATATATTTAAAGAGTCTTGAATGAATGATGCATGAATATAATGAAATATTTGCGACTGATAATGTTTTCATGATATTGAATGGTTAATTATATAATAGTAATTGATAATGTATTATATTTGTAAAATGTAATAATAATGATAACTAAAACAAAGTTTGTTGCAAAGCAAAGTGTGGGTCTTCCCTTTGAGCTGCATAATTTTATGATTGACGTAAAAAATGATCGATAATTAGATTAATACACAAAAAGGTGAAGATAACGAACAGTAATTGATGTCTAAAAATCTACAAATACGAATCGTAAACATCTGTGAACAGGGCACATAGCACGGACCCCTGGAAATTCCTGAGATTGAATCAGGTACCCTTTTACACTTCTGTATATCGGTATTTAATTTCGATGCACGGTGTTGCCATGGTTACTAAAAATAGAAATTTCTGTGAAATTCTTTCAAAACGCTACTCCTCTTATTTGCACACAAGTAGACTACTAGGAAACATAATTCTGTATATTGGTTTTTAAATTTTGATGAACGGTATTGTCATGGTTACTAACAATAGAAATTTCTATGAAATACTGTCAAATGAAATATATGGAGATAACGAACAGTATTCAAGCTCAAAAGTCCATTATACAATACAAAATAGGAGCAGAGCAAACACGGACCTCCAAACATCAGAGTTGGGATCAGGTGCCATGGAGGAGTGAGCATCCCCTGCCGACCGGTCACACCCGCCGTGTGCTCCTTGTCATGATCGGGAAATAACGGAAAAATCCGTCGACAATTCAGTCTGTAAATAATGGCCTAACAATTAGTATGAAAAACGTCAGTCAGCATTTGACTCAATGATAAATTGTATTTGCTGACAAGGTCATTGTATCGACCATAGAACTTACGAAATGATGACTTTAAACGAGACAGCTGATACTCTTGTTTCATCAACTTATTTGTCAATAATTTACCTCGTTTTAGAAATTGTACATACGTAGAGCATGCTCTTG